TTCTTTTAATTTCTTTATGCTAATACATTTTGTACTCTAACTTTCTTCCTCGCTTTTTTAAATATATGTTGGGGAAAAAAAACATTAGAAGAACATAAGCCAAAGTATCTTTCTTGGGCCAGGGATTTAGCTCCATGGCACAGAGCCTGCCTGGCAAGTGTGAGGTCTAAAGTTTGAGTCCCAGTAACACCCTCCCCCCAAACGTATCATTCTGCATGTGAACTTAACACAGTAACAAGATGAGTTCATCTTTCTTCAAAGCTAAACATTATTCAATACCAACTGAAGATTCAGAAAGTAACTTGGGTGCTTTCTCTTTGAAATGAAATACTAACAGGGACTTGCTAATTTTTAAAACACACGTGCTCTGAATTAAGTATCATGAACATGGGTATTACCCAAAGCAAATCTTATATTTGAAAGCTCAACCAATTAAAATCCATCTTGCAAGTCAAACAAAAGTGATAGATAATAATACATGGGTCATCTGGAAGATTTACTTACGGAAAATACTGCATTTCCCCTTCCTTCTCTAGTTTATGACCAATAGTGGTAGACTACAAAGCATAATTCCAGGCCAGGGAGATATCTCAGTAGGATAAGCATTTGCCTGGCAAGTGCGAGGGCCTGAGTTCAATCCCCAGTTCTGAAAAAAAAAAAAAAAAGATTCTCAAGAAAGCATAATTCCATGAATTCTGGGAACTGTGAGAAAATAGGAAAAGGAAAATCTTCTCTAAGAAAATCTGGGCTTATTTTTCCTTTTAAACGTGAGTGGTAAGCTAACGTAGCAATTAGGGAAATGAACCTTGTGAAGTGGTTGGCCCACCAGTACCATAATCTCATGGTGTTCCTTTGAGCAGTGGGTTTAAATATTCATTGCTATCACCCTGGAGTTGAGGATGACAAGATCAGTTATGCAATAAATTGTGCTATATATTTTATATAGTTGATATATTCTGGGTACATTTTTTTAATTCCTCCATGCAAAAACTCACAAATGCTTAGACTGATATGCCTATTTATCAGTAAGATTTTACTTAACTGTACTGCTGTTGGTGTATCACTCCAGATCAACTACTTGCAGGGAACAGCCTAGGAACTAGAAGACATGGAGACGTGATAAAGACAGAGACTAACACTCCACATCTTCTTGTATTCTGTAAAGATCTATGACAACCTAGGCCAGTGATGGTGAATCTTTCAGAGATGAGTGTCCAAACTGCAACCTGAAACCCACTTATCATAAAGTGGTGACACTGTAATTAAACCCGAACATGAGGGTTTTTGGTTTACACAAAAAAAAAAACAACTCATACATTAACACCTTTTGTCTTAAAAGAAAAATAGCACAAGTGCCACAGGTTTGTCACCACTGACCTAGGCTGTGAGCTGCATGAGCTCTTTCCACTAGGAAGGAATCCAGGTTAATGTGGAACAGATATTGCACTACACTCTGCTGCCTCAGATAATCTCTTGTTGTTTATAACTGCTGAAGCTCTCAGCGCTGATTTACTAGCAGTTACACTGTTTCCCAAGCCATGCAGTTTCTCAGCCCCTTCCACAGGCAGGAATAGAAATCTCCCTGAGGCACAGGTCTGGGATTTCATTGTTCACCTGAGAGGACTCGACACATCACCCAGCAATGGGACAGAGTCATCCTCCTATCTTTACCCGATCCCACAAGTGATTTCAGTTCCCCACACCAGCCACAGCTAATGGAGCTTGTGGCTTAAACTGACCCGTAGGTGGCCAATTAGAAGTCATCACACCATCATCCCTGGTGTGCATGGCTCAGGGCAAACAACTCTCAGCCCAAGTGATCACTGTGGGATTCTTCATCAATCTGAGGCTTCCTGTGCAGAAAATATTCTTGCCACCTCAAGTCCTTTAGTGTGTAATGTTATGCAGAACTCTGTCTCCACAGTACTGTGGCTGCTGATGGGACCTGGATCCCTGAGATTTGATGAATGATCTCATTATAATGATGGCTATTAGCTTTTAGGACCGAATCCTGGGTGAGGCAAAATGACACCTAGCAAGGCTTTTAACATTCTTGATCATACCCCACTAAATGCCTCCCTGGCACGGACATGCATACACACACACACACACACACACACACACACGCACACATGCACACGTACACTTCCAAACACCCCCTTGGGGTGGGGGTACTGCCCTGGTTGAGAACTACCATTCCATTATGTAACTGCAGCTTGCTGTTCTTCTGGAGGTGTATGTTGCAGGGACTGAACCCCTTGGTTTAGATCACCAGAGTAGCCCCGAGAGTCACCACACTCCATCTCTTCTGTGATGGATGCTTGTGAGCCCCACAAAATTCTTGGACCTCTCAAGTCATTTACTTTTCAAGACTGGTGGTTAAAGCTCCATCTTTAAGACTATTCAGAACATTCTGTGGAGAAAAGTGGCTTCCTGGCTTCTATCTCTCTGGAGAGGAGGCAAGAGGATATATGTGTAATGTCAAACACCAGAAGCTGGAACTGTATGCAAGGCTGAAATATATACCTTGGCAATGTGCACATGACCAGTCCCAGGAAGACTCTGTGTCCTAGAACCATGAAAGCTCTCTCTCTCTCTCTCTCTCTCTCTCTCTCTCTCTCTGAGAAATAGCTCTGAAAAAATAAGTGAATGTATAGCATTACTCCACCTGATTTTCACAACTGTGTCCGCTTCAACCCCACCTGAATTAACAGACCTCTCTGTGGAGGGGTTGCTCAGTTAATACTTACTGAATATGTAAATTGATGAGTGGAT